CCCTTGGCCTGCTGCATTGGCTGGGCTTTTCCTTGGAGCATGGCCCCTGGTACTCCTGCCACTCCTACCTCTCTGCCCACCCCCGAAACCCCATCCCTCCAGAGGGACGAGAGTTCTGCCTTGGGTATTTTTCAACATCCTCATCCAGATCAAGGCCCCATTGACATTGGAGAATTCAAGCTCAACGGGGAATTCCATTACTTAACATTGAGCGCTGACTAAGATTTTCTTTTTAACTAGACTTTTTTCTAAAAAATATACCTTATAGTGCAGAAACTGGACTGCATAATTTTTATTCTCATATTAATTAAATGTTCTAGGTATTTCTTTTTCTTAATTTGAAAAACAGGAGAAAAATGCATTCTGTTCTCTTCCTCTTTTGTTAAACCCAATCCAAATAAGCCAGAGTCATGTAAGTTCAATGACTGTGCTTCCCACGCTGGCCTGGGGTCTGAGACAGGCTGGTGCCCTGTTCGTGAGAACGCTTGCGAGTGGCCCTGCAGGCTGGTCTTCGGAGCCAGGTGATGTGTGTCTGTGGAGCGGGAGAAGCATGCTCGCGCTGGGGTCTGATGGGCCCATCTGTTCCCCTGGCACTGCTTCTGCTGTGTCTCTCCACCTCGGAGCCCTTGAAGTTGTTCTCTGTGGGGGTACACCTCCCCAAACATCCTGTCAGCCTGATACTTGCTTTCTGTCCTTCTGTCTTGCTCCGTTGTCCACCACCAGCAGAGGAAGAGGCCTTTCTTGGCCGTCCTGTTCAACATTGAAATCACTAAAGTCCCCTCCTCCCCAGCACTTTCTCTTCTCTCCCTGGTTGGTTTTTCTCCACAGCACTTATCATCATCAGATCACATACATTCCACTTGTCTTCTCTTCCCACTTGAGCCTCAATTTCATGAGGGAAAGATGCCTGTTTTAATTTATGTTGTATCAGTGCCTGGCATATGGTATGCACTCAATACTGGATGGATGGATGGATGGTTGGTGGATGGGTGGGTGGATGGGACTTCGGCCAAGTTTCTTGACCTGTGTAAGTTTCTATTTTCTCATGGATAATATGGCAACAATCCCTACCTTCCTGTAGGGAGATAGGCACGATGGCATTTCCATTTTCCATGCGAGGCAATTTGCTGACATCTGTAAAAATCATAAATGTATGAATCTTTTGGCTCAGTTACTCCACTGGGAGTTTATCCTGTAGGTGCATTACTCACACATGTGAGAAGTGCGTGTGTGCAAGGGCATTCATTGCTACATAGATGTCCATCAGGGGGCACTTCCACAGTAAACCACAGTTTATCAAACAGTGGAATACTCTGCAGCCTTGGAGAAGAGTGAGTGTGCTGTCTTTGTGCGCATACAGACTGATGTACAAATACACTAGGAGGCTGGGCATGGTGGCTCATGCCCTTAATCCCAGCACTTTGAGAAGCCAAGGCAGGAGGATTGCTTTGCTTCCGAAGCCAGGAGTTTGCGACCAGCCTGGACAACATAGCAACACCCTGTATTTACAAAAAAAAAGGAAATATTTTTAATCAGCCGGGTGTGGTGACACTCACCTGTAGCACCAGCTACTCAGGAGGCCAAGATGGGAGGATTGCTTCAGCCTGGGAGGTCAAGGCTGCAGTGAGCTGTGATTGCACCACTGCACTCCAGCCTCGGTGACAGAGCGAGACCCTGTCTCAAAAAAAAAAAAAGATATGGAATGAGAATGAGAAAGCAGAGGTGAGACAGTGCATAGTATGCTTCCTTTGGTGTGAAAAAGAGTGGATAAATGCGTATTCGTAGTTGCCTTGTACACACACAAAGACACTCTGGAGAGAGAGATGAGAAGCTAGTACAGTGACTCAGGACAGAGGGGCTGGAATGGAGGAGAAGAATGTGAGTGAGGCTTTCTACTGTATACTTTCATGTGAATTATTAATGTATTACCTATTCACACAAAAAACATATCTTGCAAAGTCATGTTGAGGCTTAGAGAGCATGGGTGTAAGCCTCTGCCAGTGGCTGGCACCCACAGTAGACACCGATGGGAAGTGAAGGCCAGCACCGCTGCTGTTGCTGCCCACAGACATTGATGTCTGCCTGCCACTCCCCCTGATACTGCTGAGACACGGCGCCCCCAGAGCAGCACACATTTTCCCTGCTGTCAAGTACATGATTGACAGAGAAAACCAGTGGGTAAGGCAAGTGAGAAACCCTTACCACAAAGTAGGTGGATCCAAGGTCCTTTTTTTGGTCTGCGGTTGCTTAAACTGGTGTGCTCAGTCCACCATTGCCAGTGTGTAACAGTAATGTTTAATTAGGCTCACAGAGGAGGACTGAAGTAAATTGGCACAGGATATTATCTGTAAGTTACATCCACGTGTCTACTTAGGGTAGTCTCAGTGCACCTTTTTTTTTTTTTTTTTTTGAGACGGAGTCTGACTTTGTTGCCCAGGCTGGAATGCAATGACACGATCTTGGCTCACTGCATGCAACCACTGCCTCCCGGGTTCAAGTGATTCTCTTGCCTCAGCCTCCAGAGCAACTGAGATTACAGTTGTGCGCTACCACGCCCAGCTAATTTTTGTATTTTTAGTAGAGACAGGGTTTCACCATGTTGGCCAGGCTGGTCTCGAACTCCAGACCTAAAGTGATCCACCCTCCTCGGCCTCCCAAAGTGCTGGGATTACAGGCATGAGCCACCATGCCCAGCCACAGTGCAACTTTTTAATACAGGAGTGAAGGTTTTTAATGTGTTTTGTCATTGCAGTAACGTTTATTTTTAATGGTGCTATAACTGTTCATACCTCACCATTGCAAAGCAATACTGTTTTTACTTGATGATATTCATTTTTGAGTTCTCATGCAGTTTTTTGTTGCGTTTTTTAAGGCCCAAAATAAAATTTACTCCTAACCATGCTGCTAGAAGTTTTTATGTCCTTAAATTTCTCCATGCATGGTGAATAGAGTAACAATGAAGTGATCCTAGAAAAACTGGGATTTGATTTGGTTCTGGTGAAATGTAAGGTGCAGGAATTGGGAGCCACTGTACCACAATCAGGACAGCAGTCTGGCTCCCCAGGCCTGAGTTAGCTGGTGTAGGCCTACCTGACAAGGCCAGCGATGGAGTGAGCTGTGGACACCCTTAGGCCCTGGGTGATCAGGTACAGTAGTGTTTGTGGAATCAAGAGTGCTGGGGTAGCCTGGGCCCGGTGGGCACAGCAAGGTCTGGCAGAGCTGTGATGGGGGAGTGGAGGCCTCTTAACCCACCATTAACCATCACCATCATCCTTGCACCTCCCTCTACCACCAAAAAAAAGCCCTGCTCTGGCCATGTAAATTCTCTCTCTAACCCCTTGCTGAACAAGTTGCACAAAGGTCTAATGGAAACCCTGCCAGAGCAGCGCTAGGTTTTTAGGTTGTTGGCATTAGTGCAGGTCAGGTGCTGTTTATAGGTAGGTCACCAGACAGGAGGGTAGAGGCGGGGGATGAAAATATCGGCTGTGTCCCCAAGGCTGGCTTGCAAGGTGCCTATTAATTTAAGAGGGCCTGCCATGCCATTTTACAGCAGTAAGCAGGGACACCTGCTGCTGAGTAGCCTTTGCCCAACACATGGTCCCCAGCCCTGAGGCCATATGCTGTGTGGCGTTCAAGCCTCCATTCTTCCTGCCTGGGGTCATTTGTTAGCAACCTGCCTTCTAGGGTCTAATGTTCATGCAGTGAGCTTGCATGGCTCATTAATTTCTTTTCCAGTCGTTCTTTTAAAAATCGGGTCGTCTTATTTCTGTAATTCTCTGTAAAGATGTAGCACACACGGCAGGCACATGGCCTCAAAGCCACCCAGGCAGAAATTGGCATGCTTCTTGGCAGATTCTGCCCCCGTGTGCCCAGTACCCCTCTGGGACTTGAGCCAGGAGCTCCCCACCTGTTAGGTGAAGTGGTGGTGTTCAACTTACCTGGGGCTGCTGGGCTTCTAAAGGGACACTGTGACTGGGGAGATGGTACAGTAGAGAGCATTTGGCAATAGGAGTTTCTAGGTAGAACTTGGGAGTCTTGGAACTTCCGGATGCGTTCTGGTGATGTGATTTTGCGCTCAGATGGTCTAGAAAGGGACCGCCCCTGTGGAAGCCGTTGCACCGGCAATCCCCATCGCAGGATTGATTGGCAAGCAGGGAAAGAGACTTGTGCCTTTGGTGGGGTGGGTTGGGTATTTTTGCCCTTTGTTATTTGGGTTTTAAAGGCAAGACTACTGACATGTGCCTGTTAAAGAAACACGTCGGTCAGGGGTCCAAAGTTAGCATGGAGCAGAGTGATGGTGATGAGACACACACTCCCGAATGAATCGTCAGTGTATCTCTCTCAATGCCAGCAGAGAGGGTGTCGAGGAGGTGCTTATGGAGAGGCACATGGGGCGGTGCGTGGGAGTGAGGCGGCCTCGGTGGGCCCAGGCTCTGTTTTGGAGTTGTGTGTGCTGCCAGCCGTGGGCTGCGGATTTCACTCCCCACCTTCGAGCCGCCAGAGCAGAGGGGCAGATGGAGCCAGCCCATGACTGACAGTGACAGTAAATGCAGAGAAACCCATTAGGGTGACACAGAGCTCTCCTGGCTGTGAGGACTCAGAGACTTCACCCGCGGGTCATCATAGAGGGGGTGCCACATGTAGATGCAGTGACCCCCAGATTCAGACACTCCTACTGTTAAGGAAGAAAGATCCCAGCAGGGCTGTTCCCTCCGCAGTGAATCCTGGGCCTGGCATAGCGTCTGGCACTTTGTGGCCCCTCTGCAAATATTTGTTGGCTGCCTGACTCCCTCAGCCTCACACCGGTTTTAGAAAGTAATTCTAAATTACTCCAAAAAGGCCAAAATGCTCCTTGCTGGCTTGGCTGACTGCAGGATAAAATGTGGAGGGCCTGGATGGACTTGCCCCTTCCTACCGGGAAGCACACAAGTTTTCTTGCTGGAAAAGTAGACCTTTGAGACTTCTCCGTTGTGCTAACTTATTCTCCTTTGTCTTCACAGAGACTAATAGACAAGTCACGAGTTACCTGTGTCAAATGGGTTCCCGGTTCGGAAAGCCTTTTCCTAGTAGCCCACTCGAGTGGGAACATGTACTTATATAATGTGGAGCACACTTGTGGCACCACAGCCCCCCACTACCAGCTTCTGAAGCAGGGAGAGAGCTTTGCCGTGCACACTTGCAAGAGCAAATCCACGAGGAACCCTCTCCTTAAGTGGACGGTGGGCGAGGGGGCCCTCAACGAGTTTGCTTTCTCCCCAGATGGCAAGTTCTTAGCGTGCGTGAGCCAGGATGGGTTTCTGCGGGTGTTCAACTTTGACTCAGTGGAGCTGCACGGTACGATGAAAAGCTACTTTGGGGGCTTGCTGTGTGTGTGCTGGAGCCCGGATGGCAAGTACATCGTGACAGGTGGCGAGGACGACTTGGTGACAGTCTGGTCCTTTGTAGACTGCCGAGTAATAGCCAGAGGCCACGGGCACAAGTCCTGGGTCAGTGTCGTAGCATTTGACCCTTATACCACTAGTGTAGAAGAAGGTGACCCTATGGAGTTTAGTGGCAGCGATGAGGACTTCCAAGACCTTCTTCATTTTGGCAGAGATCGAGCAAATAGTACACAGTCCCGGCTCTCCAAACGGAACTCTACAGACAGCCGCCCCGTAAGTGTCACGTATCGGTTTGGTTCCGTGGGCCAGGACACACAGCTCTGTTTATGGGACCTTACAGAAGATATCCTTTTCCCTCACCAACCCCTCTCAAGAGCAAGGACACACACAAATGTCATGAATGCCACGAGTCCTCCTGCTGGAAGCAATGGGAACAGTGTTACAACGCCCGGGAACTCTGTGCCACCCCCTCTGCCACGGTCCAACAGCCTTCCACATTCAGCAGTCTCAAATGCTGGCAGCAAAAGCAGTGTCATGGACGGGGCCATTGCTTCTGGGGTCAGCAAATTTGCAACACTTTCACTACATGACCGGAAGGAGAGGCACCACGAGAAAGATCACAAGCGAAATCATAGCATGGGACACATTTCTAGCAAGAGCAGTGACAAACTGAATCTAGTTACCAAAACCAAAACGGACCCTGCTAAGACTTTGGGAACGCCCCTGTGTCCTCGAATGGAAGACGTTCCCTTGTTAGAGCCGCTGATATGTAAAAAGATAGCACATGAAAGACTGACTGTACTAATATTTCTTGAAGACTGTATAGTCACTGCTTGTCAGGAGGGATTTATTTGCACATGGGGAAGGCCTGGTAAAGTGGTAAGTTTTAATCCTTAATGCTGCACCAGATCTAGAACTTGAATAGGTAGTGACTTTTTTTTTTTCCCGTGGGAGGGGTGGGGTGTACAATGAATGTGAATGACACTTCTTATTCTTAATGTAAATCTAAATGCATCAGAGCCATAATTTTGGATACTGCATGCCATGTAATTCTGAATCATTTGATAATTTACCTTAGAGCATTTAAAAAAATATAATCAAACTAATTGCCAGCCAAGTCAGTCATCCTCCTGGGAGTATATAGAGTCCCAAGGTTAGCGCTCCTGTATTAGACTATTTCAATTTTAGGAAAATCATGACCGTGTGGGGAAACAATGACTTTAAAATGCTGAAATTAAAATTTATGCTTTAACTGGAATATTTTTGCTTAACTACTCAATTAGAATATTGTACACCTGATCAGTGTGTGTTCAGCACAGATGGCCATGAATTGTCATTTATAGTCCAATTTTTTATCTTAATCATAAAATGTTTAGGAATCTATGAAATTTAACTTTAGGAACAAAAAGTTTCGCAGGGTTGATTGATATTATTTTTACATTGTTCTGGCAATCCACAGAAAGAGAAGAGCCTTAATTTTTAAAACCCATTTTAGTCATTTTATGACAATTAAAGTTGTTTAATAAACATCTTTTTTCAAAGAAGCAGTTTGTAGCACTTTGATTGAGATTCTGTGCATAAAATACCCACCTCACTCAGAGCCCGGACAGTTTGTAGGAGCTGCGGGCTGAGGACGCCAACAGCGTTGCAGAAGTGCCTCTTGCCGCATAAGCGAAGACCTTTTATGTCAGACGCACTTTGCTTGTGTGTTTTCCCAACAAGGGAAAAGGAGTTTTTTGGTTTTTTGCTGGGGGGAGGTGCGGTGGGGGAGGGGGATTGGGTCAGAAAGGCACGTGACTCCTCCGCTCTGTGAGACCCCCCAGGGCTTCTGACTTCTCCCTTACGTGGGCCTTGTTTGGACTTAGTACCCCCCAGAGGAAGCACAAGTGCAGCTTTCCCCTTTCCTTGTTCTTGGATGGCAGCTGTGGCTCCGGGATGACTCTTGGGATGCCGACGCTGGCCATGTGCTTAGGCTTCGTCCTCAGTGGCTCCCACCCCGGCGCCGCAGCCCAAGGCCTGGTGGCCTGTGGCTTCCTCGGCAGTGGGAGGCTCTGCTGCTCCCCTGGAGGCCGCAGTCTCACCCTCACTCCCTGCTGCTGCACAGGGAGCTGCTTTTCCAATTCCAGTTTTCACAGTGGGTGAGATGGCCCCTTGAACTCTATGTTCCATGTCAAGATGGTGGTTATCTTCCTTGTTAACTCATTTTGTACATTGAGGTTTTTCTGGTGTGCACACCTGTGTAATGAAATCTAGAGCGAACGATCGCTTACACCGGTTTGCCTAGTGAATGCGGCTCCGCAAAGCGAAGACCTGGTGGCTTGTCTTTCTCCGCGGTGTGAAGACCCTGGTAGCTGGAGCAGCCGCTCCCTGTGCTCTTAACGCAGCCCTCCCAGGAAAGCCGGCCCAGGTCCCCAGGCCTGCTTCCCATCAGCAAACATGTCACGGTGGAGCCACCCACCCTGTGCCCATCGTGGGCCTTAACGCAGTGGTTTCTCTTCAGTGTGATGGCACGGCAGCATGCTGCCACCTGGGAACCACAGCAGCCTTCAGGTGCATCTCGCCTGTCTGTGCCTTTCACATCGCTGAGCACTACTTCTAGGAATGTTCGCATCCTCTCTACCTGTGGAACACAGGCCTTTGTTCCTAAAGGTGACCTGATCTAAGGGAGCCATGACAGCCATCCTTGTGGACAGCTTCCGCTTTGGAGGCCAAATTGGGTCATGTGGAGAGATTAGTAATGAACCCTCCATGTGCAATTTTATGCACCTACATAGTTGTAAACATTCAGTTTCAAATGCTTCTGAGGCATTGAGTATGCAGTTTCAAAATTCAGGACTTAGTATTTGGCCTAAATAGAGAGGGGCTGATCCCAGGTAAGTAGCATTTATGGTGACATTATGGCGACCTTGCGGTTCTGAAGGTGTGTCCCACGGACAGGGAAGCCGTGGGGGTGTGGCCCGAGTAACCAGCGTGACCGACTGGGAACTCTCTGATTTCTCCCCGCTCTCTGTCATTCTCAGTCGCAGTGGCTGGGATGAAAGAGGAATTACAGGGGTACGCTGACTGACAGGTGACTTAGGAGTCATTTGCTGATAGGAACCAGGGGTGGGAGAGGCAAGAGGACGAGGTTGTGTTTCCTTTGAAAACAGCTGTGAAATGTGCTACCTAGTATGGAGGCCTGTGTGCGTCTTCCTCTCCCACCTCCGGTTTTAAACACTATGATATTGTCAGTTTGGGATTGGGGGCTTGATCACAATCTTTTTCTTCCAGTTTTTGCCAAGGAGTGTACTGTCCTTAATGTCTGTCTGGTACCTTGTCTGGGGCCCCTTTATTGTGTCTCTGTGCCCTCCCCAAGGCCCCTCTTGCTGGGTTCAGAGCCCAGTGGAGAGCACTGTGCCAGCCTAGGGAGGGGCTGCCTTTGACTGCATGGCCCGACCCCTGGCTCAGCCCAGGCTGGCCCAGGCCCTGCAGGGTGACACCACTCTGCGTCCACTCTGCCCCTCTGACTGCTGCCCCTTTCTTTGACAGCCGGCAGAGCACTTCTGCAGGCAGGAGGACAGGATGCAAGGTGTTCTCCAAGACCAGAACTAAAGGTGCCCGACAGCTTGAGAAGAGGGCCCTGGAGAGAGGGCGGGGAGGCGCCCTCCTCCTCGGCTGTGCTGCTGAGTAATGGCTCCCGCAGACCTGGGGAGGGCCGGGGAGGGGCGGCAGCGGTGGTTCCTGATGCCAGGTGTGGAGGGTACAACGCGTGCTGCTAACCCTAAGAGAAATTTGGGGAAAATATTTGTATTTTTCTCACCAAACTTTGAGCTTCCTCATTGAAATTTTTCGGTTTTTCAGCCTAAACATTATTATGAGCAAGAATATCTTTTCTAACCTAATCTCTGGAATAAAACACAGCATTTGGCAAGAAGAGGCTGTTAACTACTCAGTCGGCATCACTGTTCCAGCGTGTACCAAACCACAGAGATGAGAAGCTCAGATGAAAGTCAGGTGCATGCTGCGTGGCCGGAGAATCCCGCTCCCGCCCGGCACGGGGGTGAGCTGGGCCCTGGGCGGTGTCAGGCGCCTTCTGAAGGTGCCAGGCCAGGGCCAGGGGAGCCTCTACTTACCCTACTTGGGTTGGCCTTTTTCACCGGAATTCAAGAAGCCAGGTTTGTGCCGTTACCGTGATGGGGCAGGCTTCCAAACACCACCGGCAGCCCTGGAGCCTTTCTCTGAGGCATTTTTCTTCTTCAGAAGGGGAAATAAAATTCCCCCAGAGGCCTGGAGAAGGGAGCCTTTGGAAAAGCTTGCCTTCTTTTAAAGGCAAATTCATGTGCAGGAGTAGACACTTTACAAATAACCAGTAACCTTGGGGTCGAAATTTGCTTAAATCATGGTAAAGGATCTCATTTCTCTTTTGTGCTGATTGAACCTTCTAGCAATTTGGAAGTGTTCTTCTGTGAACCCTTAACTGGGGACTGAGGGCAAATGCCTTAGAAATGGAGGCGTGGAGAATCAGAAAGGAGCTATCACAATAATTCTTGTCTCACAGGCATTCAGGAATTCTGAGGAAGAATTGCAGTGACAGGACGGGAGTTTTGGCTCTCCACTGGCTGACTTCACCCCCAGGGCCCACCTGGCACGTGGCCAGGCAGCCGTTTACCCCATTTCCTCCACTTCCTGGGGTTCATTTTAAATATTAAAGAAATTGTGAAGTATGAAATTAGTGCTGAAGTTGCCTGAGTACAAGGTCCTCATCACCTCTTGCCGGGGAGGGAGACATTTCCTTTCTTTGTTGAGCGAGCTCAAAGTGTGAGGAGGAGAAAGCCTAGGGGGTGCGGGCGGCTGGAGAAGGGATCCACGGAAACCCAAGCGCCACCTCATGCATGTGTGACTGCCCAAGGAAGAACTAGAAGCAGTTCACCTGTGGATTTTCTGGGGAAGGATTCATGGAACACAGCGTCTGGCGTCCAGCTCTGTGGGTGAGGGCATGGCGGGGGATCCAGCGGCCCTGCCCTGCCTCCGGCGCCGGTGGATGGGGGAGGGATTAGCCTCTGACTGTGGGGTTGCACCATGAGGGTCGGTGTGCCCCCGGCTGAGGGTTCGCTCCTTAGCAGTGAAGAACGTCCACGTGCGTGGGTAGGGGTCGGGTGACCTGGAGACGCCGCCTCCGGTCTGGTCTGGGTGACAAAGGTGAAGGTTGATAGTCTGCCGCCCTGGCAGCAACCTGCAGGGCCCCCTTGTCTGGAGCACGCCCGTCGCCACGGGCCGACTGGGACTGTCATGTGTTGCTTTAAGTTAACAAGGTGCACACCACAGTGACCCCAAGTGATGTCCCAGAGGGAGGAGACATGAGTCTGGCAGAAGTGAAGTCTGTGGCTTTATATTTAAAAGCACTCTATTCAGCTGTTACCTTTGAAACTCAGAGCCTAGTTACAAACTGTAAGAACGTGCCCTCCGGAAGAGGGCAACTGTCTCTCTGATGTTGATTTTTTTTATTCGTTTCTGCATCTGTTACCCGAACTTTGTGTCATAAATTACTATCCCTTCATTTGAAAGTGTAAAAGAAGAATTTCCTGCATTTTTATCATTTCTGTATACTTGAGTTTATTAAAGATTGTTATGTTAGGCGACACTGTATAAAATTGTATGGGTATTTTGAGTGAAAATCAAAAGTCAAATTCACATGTATTTCCTTTTTTATATTTTCATCTAATTTCTTGACAACTTGAATAAATTTCATAAAGAGCCTTCCTAACATGAAGTATTGGTAAATTAAATTCTTAACTGTTGCAATAATTAATGAAGCTTTAATATCAGTATTGTTATTTTATAATTTTAAGGAAATCATGTTTCTGTTTCACGGCTTTGTTTTTTAGCTGTTCCCTTGTCACTGTCACAGCTAATGAGACTTACTACATTTCCTACATACTTGATATTCTGAAGTACTGTGGGACTGTCCTCTGTATATTGACATTAAATAAACGTGTGTGAGTGAACTGTAAATGTAGATAATTTTCAGTAGTCATTTTCACATCTAAGCTTTAAAAATCCCAGTGAACCAAAACAAGAAAAGTTTTTAAATGTTGTAAAAGTAAGGGCCTTGTGAATGTTTATAGAACAGCCAGCCACCGGAATTGCTCCCTCTGACTTAAGCTGACTGTGTTTCTCATAGTTGGCAGCATACTCGATGAAATGTTCTGCGTCCCAGATCCCGTTTTATGTGGTCCTCCTCTATGCCAGCTCCAGTCCGGGAGGAGGACTGTCGATTGGCGTTTCGGCTGGGCTGTGTAGAGGCTTCTGTTTAGTGAGAATGCTGACATTCTGAAGTCTTCCTGGGCCACGAGCTGGCTTTGGTTACATGGACTCACTATCCTGGATGCTGGACATCCGACCTTCTGTCCAGCCACCCAGCTGGCAGCTGGGAGAGTGGAGAAGGTAGCGGCTGGTAAGCTGCTTTTTTTTAATTTTGCTGTAAGTTCTGGGGTACATGTGCTGACCGTGCAGGTTTGCTACCTAGGTATACATGTGCCATGGTGGTTGCTGCACCCATCAACCTGTCATCTAGGTTTTTTTGTTTTTTTTTTTTTTTTGAGACGGAGTCTCGCGCTGTCGCCCGGGCTGGAGTGCAGTGGCCGGATCTCAGCTCACTGCAAGCTCCACCTCCCGGGTTTGTGCCATTCTCCTGCCTCAGCCTCCCAAGTAGCTGGGACTACAGGTGCCCGCCACCTCGCCCGGCTAGTTTTTTGTATTTTTTAGTAGAGACGGGGTTTCACTGTGTTAGCCAGGATGGTCTCGATCTCCTGACCTCGTGATCCGCCCGTCTCGGCCTCCCAAAGTGCTGGGATTACAGGCTTGAGCCACCGCGCCCGGCCATGTCATCTAGGTTTTAAGGCCCCCGTGCATGAGGTATTTGTCCTAATGCTCTCCCTCCCCTCGCCCCAGGTAGGCTGCTTTCTGTAGGAGCTCTTTTCCTGGCTAGAAGTTCAGTGTTTTCCTCCTCCTCACCTTGAATAGTGTTTGCTTAAGGCTTTGTGCTGGCGTGAGGTTGTCCTGCTGTGGACACCAGGCCCGTCGTCGGTGCAGTTAGCTTCCTACACAGGGCAGTGGGGGACGTTCCATTTGGGATGAGAAGAACTCATGATTTACATTGTCTTACTATGAAATACTGTCCCTCACTCTTGACAGACGATGTGGCTGATCTGAGCTGCGCCCTGGCACCCGCAGGCCTATCCCCCCTGCCTGAGCTGTGACAAGTGAGGGCAAGCTGGCCTGAGACACAACCCTCCACCAGGCCCTTATGCTCCCATTTAATTGTCACTTCCCTGCTGTGTCATGAGACATCCAGGTCCCGCTCAGCTGCCTCTCCATGTTGGCAGCCGGCTGAGTCCTGTGCTCTGCCTCTAGCACGTTCATCGGGCGGGAACTCCCAGAAGCTTCCTATGGTGCTGTCTCTGGAGTGCTGGCTCGGCAGAGCCTCTAGTGCTGAACTGTCTGCACTTTTTGTCTTGAGTCTGGGCTGCCAAAGCAGAGGCAACATTCAGACCTACAGCTCTGAAAAGCGGCCTCCTGGGGCCTGCTGCCCGCCACCCGCCGCCCGCCACAAGAGTGCTCCAGGGCCCTGTTCTCAGCACTGAACAGGGTGTTTTCGTTGGAGTTTTTTGAGACAGGGTCTCACTCTCTTGCCGAGGCTGGAGTGCGGTAGCATGAACATGGCTCACTGAAGCCTTGACCTCCTGGGCTCAGTGATCCTCCCATCTCAGCCTCTTGAGTAACTGGGACCATAAGCACACACCACTAAACGCAGCTAATTTTTGTATTTTTATTTCCGTAGATGTAGGGTCTTGCCATGTTGCCCCGGCTAGCACCGAGTAGATTTTAAACCCTAAAGACTATTAAGTTGACAGCAAGTTTTTTTTTTTTTTTTTTAAGAAAACCATGACATTTTGGTCTTTTAAAAATAACTAGTTTGTACCTTCAAAAAAATAAAAATAGCCAGTTCTCAGCTGGGTGGGATGGCTCACACCTGTAATCTCAGCACTTTGGGAGGCCGAGGCGGGTGGATCACCTGAGCCCAGGAGTTTGAGACCAGCCCAGCCATCATGGTGAAACCCCGTCTGTACTAAAAATACAAAAATTAGCGGGGCCTGGTGGCGTGCGCCTGTAGTTCCAGCTACTTGGGAGGCTGAGGCACCATGAGAATCACTTGAACCCAGGAGGTAGAGCTTGCAGTGAGTTGAGATGGTGCCACTGCACTCCAGCCTGGGCAACAGAGCAAGACTCTGTCTTAAAGAAAAAATAGCCATTTATCCATGTGTGGCTGCTTGTCAGAATTAATGGATTCTGAGCTCAGGGGTCTCTGGAGATGAACAGACCACCTAGAGGCTCTCAGCTCCCCACCACCCCTTCCAGGGTCAGTGGCCTCCAAAACCAGCCTCCCCTTTTAGGTGGGGGGCAGCATGAGCAAAATCCTCCTTGAAGTTACTCAAGCTAGAAAGGCTTTAGGGAGACTAAGTGGGGTCCCTTTTTCCTGCCCCACACGGCAGAGAGGATTGCAGGGCCCAGTGGGTCCCAGGAGCAGGAGGGCCTCCAGTGACAGCCCGGGCCTGTGCTGGTCTCCGTCAGTGAACGGGATCACGATGAAGGCCCCCTAACTTGCACACATTCTCTCTGATGCTTTTCTTCCACCTTCAGATCACAGCGGAGCCCTTAAATGGTTGTGCCCTTCATTTGCGTGGTCTTTCCCCAGATGTCTGAAGAGCACAATCCTTTTCTCTGGGCGGCTTTTCTCATTAGAGGCCAGGTTGAGTGGCATCTAGGGGAAGTGTGGCCCCTTACTGTGACCTGTCAGTGGACAGGTTAAAGCTGGCAGAGGTACATGGTCCACTGCCCAGCTACAACTGAGGTCCCAGGCCAGACTGCGCGGCAAGTCTGGGGCAGAGATGGGTCCCGGCATCCCTGGGCTGTGCCAAGGGTCCCCGGCTCTGTGGCTCACGTGCCGCTTGTGTGATCTAAAAACTGGCTTCGCACGCCCTGAATAAACCATGGCTGCTTTCTCCAGGTTTGCTTTGGTTCCTTTCTGTCGTGCTCTGTGTAATGAGAATGGTGGGAGTCTTGCAGGTGAGCAGTTAAGGAGTGTGTTCCGAGCTGGAAGTCCTAGTTCTGAGAGCAGGCTAGCCTGGTCATAGTTCTCATCATTCCTGCACCGTCTCTAAAAAGGTATTGCTTTGCAAATAACATTTAACTCATGTTCTCCCCAGGAGCACCTGCCACAGAGGCCAGCATTGGAGCCTCAGAGGCTACGTGCAGGGCCAAGGCTGGCCTTCTCCCTCTGGGAGACGCCAGTGGAGGTGACCTCCACAGCACCCCGGCCAGCTGGCACCAAGCTCCCGGATGTTGTGGCTGTGTAGAAGCAGATTCTGTCTTGTGGCACTTTGTCCACAATCTCAGGAGAGAAGTGCTAGTCTGCCTGCCTGCCTGCAATAAAACGGGTCCCAGGGCCTGTCTGCGTATCACTTTTGTTTGGGTTGGAAAGGGTGACCTTAGGAGTTGAATGACCAGAGAGGGTTTTGAACAGTCCCAGGTGGATGAGGGATGAGCTGGCGCCCAGCCCACACACTCATCCACATCCCACATTTGTCTCCTTGAGGTTCTGTCTTCTCTGACATTCACAGGCCAGGGGTTGCGGGCGTCGGAAGGGGAAGCTCTCCCGGAACCCAGAGCCAGGAGACTGTCCTGGGCCTGACAGAGCTTCAGGACATGTCCTTTCTCTGATGTGGCCTGTGGCCCTCACAGTCCTGTCTTGCTGTCAGAATCTGCAGTCTGAGCAGCACCTGCAGGGGCAGGAACGTGGCCCTGCTGCTTTATTGTAAATTGTTTTGAACCAAAATATTTTTCCTATATATTCTGGTGCGACAAGGCATAATTCTCTTAACTTCGTATTATAAATTAGAATCAAACCCAAACCAAGAGCTGGAGTATTTTCTATCACTTAATTTTGAACTGAAATCTCTACAGGAATGAAACAGTGACTCTGTGGAGAGCCGAGCAGCTGACTAAGTATTAGAGCCAAGGCTTGCCCCGTTCCTCTCACAGCGTGGGGGCTGATGGGACGCCGTGCAGATTCTCCCTGGGGAACTCCTTTGCCTGATGGCAACTGGTAAAGCCTGGAGCTGCCAGCTGTCCTGCTTCCAGTGCACAGACAGACCAGCGGCTCCTGCACGCTGCTGAGGACAGGTGAAGTGTGCGTGGGCTCCCCTTGCCAGGTTCTCCATTGGCCAGGCCGGGCCTTGCCCCTTTTCTCCCATGAAAAGGAAGCAGAGAAGGACAGGGTAAAACCACGCTCCCTCCCTGAGGAGCAGGCAGATTGGGGCAGCAGGGTCCCTGTCACTGGGAGTTTGACATGGATAAACATTTGGGCAGTGGATCCCCCACACTTTACAAGCCTCCCACTGTGCTCTCGAGGGAAGCTGCAGCCTGAATCCTCCCACGGGGGCCTCTAGGTGTCTGCTGCTCGCCTTCCTCTTCTGCCACCTGATAATCTTTAGACTAAATCACAGACTGACAGAAACAAGGTGGCTTTTTTCCATTTAATTTCTTCTGAATGGCATTTCTTCCTCTGCTGCCTCCAGTGTTCCTCACGGCAAAGCGAGTCCATCTCCAGCAAGTGATGGGTGCAAGATGACGGGTTCATTGACTCGCACAAGTCCTCACCTGCCTGCAGGGTGCCAAGGCCCCTTCTCTGCCACCCGGAGGGCTCACTGTGTCGCACCCCCTGCTTCTGGGCATGCCTGGCACTGATGCTAACCCAGGGCCGCAGCAGGCCCAGTACACTCCAGGGCTTGTGCCTGCAGGCCCGTCTCCTGGGGCTTGCTGGGTTCACTGCTGGAGAACTGGAGGCCGGACCCACTGGGTCTTTGCTTCGCCTTCCTGTTAACTCCTATTAGAGACCGCTGTTCTCCCCTTTGCTCTGACAGGCGGGCTCCAGGGAGTCCCTGGTCAAGCACCCTGGGGTCCTCTTGGGTTTTTCACCGGTAGCCAACCTGCTTCCCCAGTGCTCCAGCGTAGGGACCCTGAGTGTTGATCCTGGGCACATTCTCCACATGGCGATCCATTCTAAAACAATTGTTAACCAGGGCACATTCTCCGCATGGCGATCCATTCTAAAACAATTGTTAACCAGGGCACATTCTCCGCATGGCGATCCATTCTAAGACAATTGTTAACCAGGGCACATTCTCCGCATGGCGATCCATTCTAAGACAATTGTTACACCAGGGCACATTCTCCACATGGCGATCCGTTCTAAGACAATTGTTACACCAGGGCACATTCTCCGCATGGCGATCCGTTCTAAGACAATTGTTAACCAGGGCACATTCTCCGCATGGCGATCCGTTCTAAGACAATTGTTAACCAGGGCACATTCTCCGCATGGCGATCCGTTCTAAGACAATTGTTAACCAGGGCACATTCTCCGCATGGCGATCCGTTCTAAGACAATTGTTAACCAGGGCACATTCTCCGCATGGCGATCCGTTCTAAGACAATTGTTAACCAGGGCACATTCTCCGCATGGCGATCCGTTCTAAGACAATTGTTAACCAGGGCACATTCTCCGCATGGCGATCCGTTCTAAGACAATTGTTAACCAGGGCACATTCTCCGCATGGCGATCCGTTCTAAGACAATTGTTAACCAGGGCACATTCTCCGCATGGCGATCCGTTCTAAAACAATTGTTAACCAGGGTTGAATGAAAAGGGCTAAGGCCTGCTAATGGGAACCCCCAGTTCCCTGTTCTGCCAGTATGGACTACAGAAGGCGAGCGGAGGGCGGTTGATTGAAGATGTCTCTGGAAGGTGGGCCCAGTGGAGACTGGGACGGTGGAGGGCATGAGGGTGGTTCTAGTTGGCTCCCAGCTGCCACCACAGCTGGCATCAAGGCGTTAGCCAGCAGAAACTGGAGAATGAGTGTAGTGTACATTTGTTTTGTGCTAATGGGAGAATAGGAAGCTACCTGCAACCCTCAGGTTGGGTTGCTTTCTAGGGGCAGGGCTTTGTAGGGACCAGCGGGTGGAAGCAGCGTGTCCCTCGACATCAGGCTCTGGCAGCCTGGTGGCGGCACCACCTCTGCGTCTCAGCACCCGCCCGCCCTTGGGAGTGATGGAAAGCGGCCTCCCGCTCAGTGAGAGGACGTCTAAGGACGGGTGCTGTCCCTCATGGCCGTCACGAGCCACCTACAGCCACTGAGTATGTAAACCGGGGCCAGTCCAACCTGAAATGTGCCATAACGTGTCAACCACACAGCACACCTCTTAGGCTTCTTACCAAAAAAGTCATTAATAAGTTTTGTATTGCTGAATATGTTATGAAACATCCTGAGTTAAAGAAAATATTAAAATTGGCCGGGCGCAGTGGCTCACGCCTGTAATCCCAGCACTTTGGGAGGCCGAGGCAGGCGGATCACGAGGTCAGGAGATCGAGACCATCCTGCTAATACAAAAAATTAGCCGGGCGTGGTAGCGGGCACCTGTAGTCCCAGCTACTTGGGAGGCTGAGGCAGGAGAATTGCTTGAACCCAGGAGGTGGGGCTTGCAGCGAGCCAAGATCGTGCCATTGCACTCTAGCCTGGGCGACAGAGCGAGACTCCCCCAAAAAAGAGAAAATATTAAAATTAATGTCACTTGTTTTTATTTTCATTTTTTGAGACGAGTCTTGCTCTGTGCTCCAGGCTGGAGTGCAGTGGATTGTAGCTCATTGCAACCTGCATCTCCTGGGCTCAAGCCATCTCCTGCCTCAGCCTCCTGAGTAGCTGGGATGATAAGCGTGCACCACCACACCCGGCTAATTTTTGTATTTTTAGTAGAATACAAAAATTACACCATGTTAGTAGATTACACCATTTTAGTAGAATACAAAAAATACACCATGTTAGCCAGGCTGGTCTCAAATTCCTGGGCTTAAGTGAACCCCCCACCTTAGCCTCCCACAGGGCTGGCTGTCACTTGTTTTTAAGTCGTGAAATGTGCTCCTGGGAAGCTAAACTTAACACAGGATTGGTTCACAGGACACCACCTTCCTGTGGGTAGGGCTGCCTCATACCTGGAGCACTTGCCTCCACCTGGCGCTCTGTGAAAGGGGAGGGAGACTCTGTGGCTGCCAGATGAGGTGGCCCCTCTCCGTCTGTCCCCAGGCTGGATCACCACCACTTTCTCCCTTGCCAGGAGTAGATGACTTTTCTGTGGCTGGGGGGAAGGGAGGTGCCTCTTGGTTCAGGAGATTGTCACCTCCTGGACACCACGTAGCTTGTGGAAAGTACTTTCTTAGGGTGTGCGCGGTGATGAAGGCAGAGCGTCCTGTGTTAGAGGCTTCCTTCCTCCAGACTGTCCGTGGCAGAAGTGCAGTCAGCCACCCGCTGCCCAGCTGACCTCCACAGCCTTGATGAGTTTGAGCCAGAAGTATGGGGCATTTGCGGGGTCCTCCACAAGTACAAACAGGGTTCTGTCCCTTTTCAGGGGTCCCAGAGGAAAAGCGCTCCCGTAGCCTCTGAGCAGGGCAGCTGCCACGTTCCGTTTGCTCCTGAGCTTGTCTGGGTGAACAGATTTCAGGTGAAGGGAAGAAACGGGATGAAATGACCAGTGGGACAGCCTGCTTCCCGGCTTCCTGCAGCAGCGTGTGGGCGAGGCTGAAGGGCAGTTTCAGATTGTCACCCTCATCTGTGTCCACGCAAGTCCAATGTGTGAGAAGGTAGCAATGTTTGCTTGAGTTAAAGGCTTGTCATTTGTAAACAGTACTCATCAGCCGAAGCCTTCTTCCACGACAGCTTAGGCTGAGTTGCATTCCCAGAGCTGAAAATGTGCACCTTTGGGGTTGCACTGTCGCCATCTTAATGTTCTTCTTCATAAACGAACGCCATGCCTTGATGTAATTTAACTGCCGCCCAATAGTAAATGCAAAGAAATGGAAGTACTCTTTGCTGTGTGGGAAGTTAAACCCTCTTAGGTTTACCTAAGCTCACGCCTGTCTTGCTAAATCTGGGTGAGATTCCCCCTCCCCAGTGAGCCTCTCAGCAGGAGTTGCCCTGAAGAGCCAGAAGCACCCCGCCCATTCTTCCAGCTGGCCCTGGTGGGTTGGCCCCCACATCCGTTCTCCACACCCAGCCGCAGCCTCACGGCAAGACTCCTTTGTTCTGGGGCTCCCCCTACCTCGGCCTGGGCCCTCCTGTCTCTACCTGTGGGGCCTACACATGTGGACAGCTGCAGCCAGAGGGTGCCATGGTCGCACCACCCAACAAAGCAAGAACCCCCCCAGCAGAGAATGCCCTTTCAAATGTGTCCCTGAACTCTATCCTTGAAGGCAACCCCTGGCTCCAAGGGACTGGGTGTGCAGTCCAGAACTGTGGGGCCCTGGGCTCAACCCTGGCTGAAGGCGCTGAACACCTCCCACGAGGCACCTGTACCTTTGGGTCAGTGAAACTCCGAAGAACCTGCCCTCAGGTGCCGAGAAACCACTGTCTCCCCCAGGGGCAAGGCCAGCCCTGCCCGCCCTTCTCTTGGACAGTGTTGAGACCACAATATTGCACCCAGCAGGGTTCCAATTCTCTAGGAATTGAACGCAGTGATATGGATAGGAATTAAATAGATGAAGTGGAGGGTTTGCTCCCACACTGGCTTCCACACCAACAGCACCAGTTTTGACCACATGGAGCTGCTGGCAGAGGGCGAGCATGGTGGCTGTCGCCTGTCCGGTGTTTTGCTGGATTAATGTAGACTGCTTTGTTTGCAGGGCTCATTGTCATCCCCAAGCCAGGCCAGTTCTCCAGGTGGAACTGTAGTGTAGCGACCCCACTGCTGCGCGCACAGCCTCCCGGGACTTGGACTCGAGGGAGTGATGAGGAGGAGCCCCAGCTGCGCCTGAGCCGTGCCAGCCGGCAGACCTCAGGCGGTGGACGTCGACGAGGGCCGTGTGGACGGCGACCGGCTCACTCTGCAGCATCGTGCTCCCACTGCTCACCCAAAGAAATTGTTTCCATTTTAAATCGGTCTTTTGGGGCTGCAGTAAAAAATAAGAAATTGAGTTTTCTTACTTTTTACTCTAAAATTCAATGTAATTAAATCTCATATATATATAATATATACATATATACATAGTGTAAAATAGAATGTTTCTTGGACAAGAAATCCCCTGAAATTCAACTGTTATAAATAGTGCTTTCCTGTTTTTGCACTGATTTTTCTATACCTTAGGTGGTCAGAAGACAACCTTGAATGCACTCATACAGAAAATTGTTACTTTCTGACTTAATGTAATTCAGGAAGGCAGATGCTGCAATCACAGATCTAAAAAAATTGTTTGCACTTAAAAATAGTTGAATACTGGTGGAGTTACTTTGCAGATGGGTACAAAGGACTCACGGCCCTCTGAGGTGCGGTGTGAAGATGCCCTTTTTACCTGTCGATGTTTAATACTGTTATTTTCCAATGCAATCAACTCTGTATTATATGTATAAATAATGTAATTCTGCAATTGGGGAAAATAGTTACTTCACTAGTAATTTTCATCATTTAAGAGTGATATTTCTAATTCACAAAAAAATTAATATTAAAACTATCTTGAATATACCGCTTGTTTATCTTCTGTTAAATTGGCTTAGTCTTTCCTGTACATTTTGGTTGAACTGGTTGGTATGGAATTGTTTTGTCTTTTTCACCCCATGTTACTAGAAGCCCCGTCAGTCACACTTGCGACGGGATGTTCAAGAACACGGCTCAGGAGGGCGTGGGCTCCGTGGCCGCCTCGCAGCCTCACCTGTCTGTGGCCACTGTGGGCAGCTGCACGTGTGCACAGGGTTTCAGGATCATGTTTCCTTACAGCTTCGAGTCCTTCTTTTGTCGTTGAAAGCCTGTGACCACACATAACAGTTTCTACAGTGAGTATGAACGTGGGACATGAACTAGCTAATCAAACTGTTTACCTGATTTTTTTTTTTTTTAAGAGACAGAGTCTTACTGTCACCCAGGCTGGAGTGCAGTGGCGTGATCTCAACTCACTGCAAGCTCTGCCTCCTAGGTTCATGACATTCTCCTGCCTCAGCCTCCTGAGTATCTGGGACTATGGGCGCCTGCCATCACGCCCAGCTAATTTTTTGTATTTTCAGTAGAGACGGGGTTTCACCGTATTATCCAGGATAGTCTCGATCTCCTGACCTCATGATCCGCCCGCCTCGGCCTCCCAAAGTGCGGGGATTACAGGTGTGAGCCACCCTGCCCGGCCTTACCTGAGATTTTTCTTACTTGGTTGAACCAGCTCATGAGCATCTATGAGCCTAGGGCATCCCACACCTGCTCAACGAGTTACTAGAATTGCAACAGAATGTGCAGCTACCAAACAGAAGAATGTTTATTTTTTTAAAAAATCATATACAGCTGGATCCTTTGAAAGCTTTATTTTGTGAGACTTTAAACCATGAAGTGTCTGAAACCTATTTCTGTAATTGATCACATTAAATTGGGGGCATGTCTTTAATTTCGGGCTTTTGAGGGGAGGTATGCTACATTTTCACCATTTGTATGAATGCAGCCACAGAAAACTTCACATCATCTGAGCCCTCAGTTTAGTTTTCTTCAGGGGAGAGATTAGTTACGGCTTGAGTTCTCAGCCTGCCCCACTCAGAGGCCCCAGCAGGGCCTCTGGATCAGGGGGCCATGAACTATGGTGTGTCTTCTAGAAAGAGAAATACAAGACACTAAGACTTGCTGTTCTAAATGAAAGAATCAGAATGGATAAATTAGACACATGCAGAGTGACCTCTGTATTAAAGTATTAGCACATTTTAGGTACTTTGGTATTTCTGTCATCTTAAAGTACTGATTGCTAGGTGCTGTCAGTTACACAGGAAGCCAAACCCAGGAGGGTCCAAAACAGCTACAGTGAACCGCGGGTGTATTTGGAAGTCAGAAGGAACTACTTTTGAAAATAAGTCTAAAATTCTTTTCTGTTTAAGACAGAATCTCACCTATCATCCAGGCTGGAATGAAGTGGTGCGATCATAGCTCATTGCAGCCCCAACCTCCTGGGTTCAAGTGATCCTCCCACCTCAGCCTCCCGAGTAGCTGGGATCACACATGTGTGCCACCACACCTGAGTAACTTTTTGGTATTTTGTAGAGATGGGGTCTCCTTATGTTGCCTAGGCTGGTCTCAAACTCCTGGGCTCAAGCGATCCTCCTGCCTCAGCCTCCCAAGATGCTAGGATTATAGGTATGAGCCACCGCACCTGGCCAAGTCTAGAATTCTTAATCTGGCAATCTTCCTGGTCATCTCCTTATTCTGTTTCCTGTTTGTGGAAAGTGGCAGGTGGAAATTTAATACCAGGACAATAATTACGTAAAGACTTGAGCAGTTTGGTCAGATGACCCAGCTATGTCCAAAACTTTTGCTGGCCCCGAGATGGTATCACTCGAGATGGTTAGTCCTAGCTCTGCCTCAGCCCAGTCTGTCACCCTTCGCTGGTTCTGGAGTGCACTTTGCATTTGGCCATCACAGTACTAACGCTGTCAGATATGCCCCAGTTTACTCTAGATGCATCTGTGCCAGGAATAAATCTTTATTTTTATGGCGCTGTTCCTAAGACTGCTCTGTAGCCAAGTCGGCCAAGATGACTTCCAAACTCTAACTGCCTCATAACTGTCCCCACCACTGTCACCATGGACTCAAGCATTCAGCAGGCCCTGGGCAGATGGCAGTGAGGCAGCATCAAGGCTGGTCATGCCCTCACTCAGACGCCCTGGAAAGACGAGCTTCCCTGGGACGATTTGGGTTTTTCTCACTTGCCTTGAACTTCCTTACACTTCCGGCGTTGAAGAATGCACGCTCCTCACGGGATTAGGCCCAGAGAAAGCCAGGAAGAGGTCGGCCATGCCAGGGGTGGGTCTAGCTGGACTCTAGCCGCCTCGTGGCAGGCTGGCTGCACCACAGGTGTGGGGGCAGCAGAGTAGGAGACGGGAGGTCACGGTCACACTGCTGTTGCCTGTCACACGAAGGCATGCACATCTGAGTGCCAGACGGAGATGGCTGACGGAGATGGCTGCGTACTGCTTCTCCCCGCAAGGCCCGCCCCACCAGTGTGGAGTGGCTCCCCTGTGCTCCTGCCTGGTGTCTTCTTTAAGGTCAGGAGGGTGAGGTGGGTGGGCGAGGGTAGGCTCGCACAAGAAGGGCGACAGTGCAGCGGGGCAGCACGCAGGTGCTTAGCAGAGGATTGCGGGATGAACGTGTTTGAATGGGGAGGAGGACGGCTGAGGCCTCATCCTTGCTTCCGTTCTGGGTTCTGTGGGGATAATTCAAGCGCTTCAGTTGCATTGCACAGAAGAATGGAAATAATCCGGCCAGCTTTCCAGTTGGGGCGGCAGAGGCGGCAGCAGGGTGAGGTGGCCTCCTATGGGCTGAGCCAGCCTGGCCCCTCTGCCCTCAGCCCTGGCCCCCATCACAGGGCCCAGACAGACACAGGGAACCACACACAGCTAAGGCAGCCTGGGGATCCTGGCGCCTGCTGCCGAGAGCAGGCAGGTGCGAGGGCCAAGTGCAGGGCAGGAAGTCCAAGGGTGGCTGGCAGGATTTCCCTTTTCTCCAAATCTGCAGGAAATCATCACCCTTGGAATCTCCACCCTTGGACTTGGGAAGCCGATGTGGGAACCCTGCTGTGCGCCACAGACCCCCGTCACTCCTCCATGGAGGGGGCCTGTGGAGCTGGGCTCTGGTCCCCTGCTCACCTCCATCCTGGAGGCCCAGCTGCCCTGGGCCCTGGCGTGCCGGGGGCTCTACATTGCTTCAGAGCGTTTATGTCCAAGTCCAACAAAACCAGGAGGGCCTCAAGCGGCGGGCCTTGGGATGGTCCTCCTCTTGCTTTAGGGACTTTCTTGCCTTCAGAGAGCCCCCAGCCGTGCTGCCCCCACCACGAGGAGGGTGACAGAAGTCAGGGCAGCTGATGTCCGGGGCACCAGCATCTGCAGACCACACTTGCTTTCTCAAAAAGGCCTGCAGAAGAACTGTCAAGACTTTCCCTTCATATTTTTAGGTGTAAAGAGAAGAACACGTTTCCCAAGTACACAAACACTTAATCCGTTTACATGCCCAACACTTAAGCCAGGCCCGGGGACAGGGCGCGCCCCTCCTAGCCACCACTCCCCTACCCACAGGTCCCTCTCTTGTGACCTGTGCGCCCCACCCCCACCCCTACACCTCCCCATCCTTCTGTCCCCCAGCCCTCCCTGCTGCTGGGCTCTGCCCACGGCCCTGGTGTCCGACTCCCCTGGGACTCCCAGGCCCTCTGTAGAGGCAGAACGGTGCCACCCCCCTGCTCAGACACCTCCCCTACAGCAAGGGCAGCCTTCAGGGTCTCAAATGGGTTTAAAAGGAGCCCAGGGAGAGGCTTGCTCTGAACATTATGGCAAGCCTCACTTCCGGGCTGTAATCTGCCCTTCTTCTTGGGCTCCTTTGACCCCCATGTGGCACAGACCGGGCACCTGTACCTATGGACTCGCTGCCCCATGCTCCCAGCCCTTTCCTCCTCCTCCAGCCTGCCCTCCCTCCGTATGGCCCAGAGTCCACTGTCGTGTCAGATGGCCTGGGGCTGGGGCCAGAGCCACTGGAGAGCACATGAAGGAAGGGTGTCACAGATTTGTCTCAACACAGGAACAAGGAGGCCTAAACACTAGCCCGAGAAATTTAGCTTTTTTCAAAAATATCTCATAAGTTTGGGAAGATGACAAAAAAAAGGAGGACCCAATTACTAAGTTACTTTCCAAGATAAACAAGGACTTACTAGGACTTTTCTTGTGCCCAGCAGCCCGGCCAGTGCCAGTTTCTTTGCAATGTTCCCATCCCATCCCCACGGGGAAGCAGGTTTCTTTTTCTAGGACACAAGGTACCCAACTTATTGTTGGCACTCGGCAAATAGCTCAAAGCACCCACTGGCAGGCCTGGGGCAGGGCTCCATACTCCCCAGAGACAGGTGGGCACCAGGAGCTAAAATGACAACGTGGTCACCTTGAAGCCTGTGCTCAGAAGAGACCCTGCAGGCCTGCCCTGTGCCCCGTACCACCTTGCCAGGCTGGTCGCTGAGGAGCACACAGGGCTCCAAGGACATGCCTGTGTGTGCTCCTTCCTGAGTGGTTCTTCAAATGAAAATTAAGCCACACCAGGCCGGGCGCAGTGGCTCACGCCTGTAATCCCAGCACTTTGGGAGGCCGAGGCAGGAGGATCACCTGAAGTCAGGAGTTTGAGACCAGCCTGACCAACATGGAGAAACCCCATCTCTAGTAAAAATACAAAAAATCAGCCGGGCGTGGTGGTGGGCGCCTGTAATCCCAGCTACTCTGGAGGCTGAGGCAGGAGAATCCCTTGAACCCGGGAGGTGGAGGTTGCAGTGAGCCAAGATCGCACCACTGCACTCCAACCTGGGGAACCAGCGAAACTCCGCCTCAAAAAAAAAAAAAAAAAAAAAAAAATTAAGCTACATCAAAGCCTTCCCAACAAAATCAATTCCCCTCATGTGCCCACTAAAGCTAAAATAAAGGAATGGCTGGTAAGGACACATGTTGGACTCGGAGAATATTAAAATGCAATACTGTAACGACAGCTTATTCTTTAATAAAAGTCGGGGTGTCCAGTAGCGTCACTGGTAAGAGGTGGTGCGCTCCACGACTGACCAGCAGCGCCAGAAAAGCGCTGGGAGGGGACACGCAGAGCCCACCTTCCAACCACGCCCAACTGATCACAGAAATGCCTGCTTGTTTTGATTCATATACAAAGTTACAAAATATTCCCTGCCCCAAATTCTTAACGAAAATGAAAGAAAACCCTAGAATGTGGTTTTACAAATATATTAGCCCAGAACATCCTGGGCAGCTGCGCGGGCCGCGGGTGCGGCGGGGCGCAGGGCAGCACCCAGAGCCCCAGCCAGTGCGAAACGGACGCAGGTGCGTCCCCAGCCCTCCGTGGCGTCTCAGCGGCAGATCGCCCAGGCCGGGCCCGATCGGGCCTGGTGTTGCCTCCGGAAGTCGAGACGACTGTGCTGCTCAGTATACTCAGTATCTTCCGCCTTTCCGCACTATGGTGGGCAGGCGACACTGCTGCGGGGCAGGCTTAAGGTCCTTCCGCGGATCTGTCTGTCAAAGAAAAATTACAGACACGAAATTCAGTGGCGGCCTGGGCAGGGCGGGAGAGCAGAGCCGCCGGAGAAGCTGGCTCCGTGCTACCTTCTTGGTCGCAGGGATGCACTTCAAGGGTCTCAGCACCGGCGCTCTTCCATTTGTCCCAGATTCAAGCGCGGACTGCAGCGTGGGGCTGGAGTAAGACGACAGTTTGGCCACTCCCGAAAGCTTTAGTTTGGGCAGTTCCATGACGTAGGCCGGTCCTTGTCTCTTGGGATGGTCCTCCTCTTGCTTTAGGGACTGTTTCTTGAAACAGAACAGAGGCCAGTTGGACATAAAATGCTTTCCCCTTTATGGAAATTAGGAAAAATGAAAGAGGCTCTTTTGTGCTGCTTTTGGCTAATACAATTTCTTGACCATGAGATGTGACTGGGACACATTCACCAGGTCCCAGACACCCCAAGGGAGTGGCTGCTCACGAGAGTCCCACGGCGGAGGCCAAACCTTCAGGGGGAACCTGAAGCACGCAGACTGCGAGCTGAGGAGTGTGGGTGGCAAAGGGCTGGCAGGCAGTGGTGCCCACGCCTCCGGCCTCCTACTCTAGCTCCAAGGCCTCATGCTCTGACCTGCCTGCTGCCTGCTTTTGGGGGGCTTGTAAGCTAAGGATGGTTTTACATTTGGGTTTCTTTGTTTTTTGTTTGCTTGTTTTTTGAGACAGGGTGTTGCTCTGTAGCCCAGACTGGAGTGCAGTGGTACAATCTTGGCTCACTGTAGCCTCAGCTTCCTAGGCTCAGGCGATCCTCCTGCCTCAGCCTCCCAAGCAGCTGGGACTAAAGGCACGCACCACCACACCCAGCTGATTTTTAAAACAGATGGGGTGGTGGGGGAGTAGTCTTGCCTACGTTGCCCAAGCTGGTCTCAAACTCCTGGCCTAAGTGACCCTACTTTGGCCTCCCTAAGCACTGAGTTTATAGGTGTGAGCCACCACACCCACCCAGTTTTTATATTTTTTAATAATTGAAAAAAAAAATGTTTCATGGCATATGAAAATGATGTGAAATTCAAATTCTAGTGTCCCCAGTTCTACTGGAACGCAGCGCCCGATGTGGTTCCTGTGTTGCCTCCAGCTGCTTTCACACTGCAGCAAAGCGGGGAGTGTAACCAGCACCCCACGGCCACGGGGCCTAAAATATTTCCTGTCGGGCCCTTAGAGAAAAGCATGCCGACCTCGGATGTGACTGAGGGTGGGGACTTGGGTGAATGCGGCCTGCAGTGACATCAACGGTTTGAAGCAGACCCTCTGTCCAGGAGGGAGCAGAGGCAGAGCAGGGACAGTAGTGAGGAGGCCATCTGTGGTGACTTAGGCAAGGTGAGGAGGATGTAGGAGGCAAGAAGGCGAAGCCCCTGTGAGATGAAGGAAGGGTCCACGGGGGGCCTGGGCAGTCGGCGGAGTTGCCTGCCCCGGAGGGAAGGCCATGGGAAGCTACAGGGAAAAAAGCACATTTGGGGGAAAGATCAGGAGAAGGGGTTTCAGCACATTTGTCTTTTGGACATTCAAGTGGAGCTGTCAAACCGGGGGCCAACGGGACACAGGAGCTTGGCTTTCTGGAGAGCAGTCTGACTGCAGCTCTGGGTTCCCAGCTCCCAAGCGGGCAGGGAGCACTCAGTAAAGGCTGGGAGGAGCGAGTGACGTAGGGACGACCGAACAGATGAATGACGGAAGGACACACTGTCACACTGTTGGGGTGCCAGCCCAGAACTGGGAGACTGGTGCAATCCTGCTAGCAGGTGCCACAGGGCTGCACCGGGCTAGGATGCCACATGGTAGGTGGGAAGGTGAAGGCACTGAGGAGCAAAGCTGGCATTTCTCAACCCAAAATGTGCACAACCTCCGCTGATGGGACGAAGTGCTCATCTGGGGCCAGAGACAGCGTGGCCTGCCTAGGACTTGAGACCTGTCATCGGCTGGGTCGGTGACTCGGGCCTGAGGCCTGTCACCAGCTGGGTGGGTGACTCGGACCAGCATTGCATCTTCTCGGCGCCTCCCTCCAGGGCCGTTCTGAGGGACGATGTCTCCACAGAGCTTGGCATAGAACCTAGCACCTGCATGTGGCCATCAGGACAGACACAAAAGTTCATGCAAGGGTCCCCTCTCTGGGCCTGCTCACATGGGATATTCGTCATTAATTCTTAGCTACTGGGGCAGAAAGGGCTTGAGCAAATAGAACTGGGGTCCCTGACATCCCAACATATGCAGCCATCAATTCGCATGCTGTTCAGGCCTCGACTGACAACATGGTCTGCCACAGCCTCCACAGGTGGCGTCCTCCTCAGAGACACAGGCCACCTGAGGGCATCCAGTCCCCGCTGAGCTGGGTGGTCTCCAGCTCCGATTTCGCTTAGTACCTGCTTTCTGCCCTCCTTTGAAATCTGGCAGCTGGTAGTGAGTGGTTCCGGTGCCACAGGGTGCTCCGGAAAGCAAGCTTTTCTGTGGCTGCCCAGAGCTCGCTTCTCTGTTTTCCTACGGGGAAGGAGAAGAGAACGGAGCAGCTCCACTGAGAGCCCGCAGAGCACACGGCCTGTTGGCTTCTTTGCCTCCAATTTGTCTACTGTGTGAGTTGCCAATAGCTCTTCTTTTCTGCATAAGCTGTAATCAGGGGGCTTTTTTTTTTTTTCTTTTCTGGGCCAGGAACAGAGCTGGCTCCATGAACCAGAGGCACTGCCTACCCAGGGACTCACGGTTTGGGATCAAACTGTCACCTCCACAATTACGCATACAGGAGTGTCCAGAGGTGCGGAATTAGATGGCCTCAGGGCAGACAAGTCTTAGATTCACATTCAGCAGGTACTTCCAGTGCCAGGTGACATCCAAAGTGCTCTAACATCTCAGAATGCATCCTGTTCACACCATTTACAAGGGCTACACACCAGGCTCTTCTAGAAGGCTTACTACCTGTAGCCTCTGCATCAACCACAAAGTGGGCAGCCAGCCCCTCTTTCTCCTGCCATGGAGCTGCTAACAGCCTCATTTTGGGGAGGATACATCAGAACACAGCACGGTGGGGGCCCCAAGAGGCCCTGACCACTCTTCAGGATGGAGAGCGTGATTCCCAAGAACCAGGGACCCTCCAGAGGGCAGTCCCTTGCCCCACGGTGTGCCATGGGTCTCATTTGCCAGGTCCTGCATCCGCCCCACAGAACCCATGAGGGCGCCTACCTCTGTTCTTGGAAGTAGGGGTGCTGCAGGGCCTGGTGGGCAGCGATTCTCTCATCGGGATCATAGGCCACCATTGCGTGCAGGAGGGAGAGGCATTGTGGGGACAAATTGGTTGTCAGTAGAGGTATTCCTGATCCCCTTTTAAAAGGAAAATCAAAATTCATAGCTCTCGACCTGTATTAAAAGCCCAATGATAATAAACGGTCACGCTGTCACTGAGTGCACTGGCGGTCCACTGTTACGACTAAGGGCCCTGCATGGTGCAGAGTCTACGCCTGCCCCAGCCCACAGAACGTGCAGCACCAAGAGGGACCCTTGATGTAAATGATGGGCTCTGTGCAGTAATGAGATATCTGTGATTCATCGACCATAACTAACACACCACTCGAGGGGGTGCTGACCACCGGGGAGGCTGTGTGCCCGTGGGCACAGGGCTCTATGGAAACCTAAAACTGCTCTTAAAAAAAATCTATTAAAATAGTCTATGGTAAAGGGGGGGATCTGTTATGCTATAAATGTAAGAAAACTACCTTTCCTATAAAAGATTAATATTACCTTCCCGCATGAGAAGAATGAAATAAACTTTAACAAAAAAAGAAGAGTCCAAAATTGTTGCCACCTTCTCCCTCCCTGGGATCTGGGGGCTGCTAGGTGCTACTCGCCCCTTCAGCCCACAGGCCCTCCCTGGGGAGTCCCGACTCCCCAGCCTCAGCTTCATCAGAATGACCCCTGAGAGTCCGGGAACACCTCTTCCAGGTGTCGGTCCCGCCAGTAGGGCCATGGAGGGCTGCAGAAAGCCCTCACCACCTATGGTCTGTGCTTGGGGAACATTTCCACCCAAAGTCTTCTAAGTCCTGTTTAAATTACTCAGGCAACAGAGCCTGACTCCCCGGCCCTCAGAAAGCCTGTGACAAATCTTTCTGTGATACTCAAGGAAGAGCTCACCTTTGAGACCCCTTAAAGTGATGGGCTCTGTCTGAGCAGCCACTCACTGGCCCTCAAGTGAACTTGGAGCCCTGAGAGTGAGGGGTTTGAGGGAGGCACAGGGAGGGGCTTGCCCTGCCACAGGTCCTGGCAGGGGAGTGAGTCCACGTCCACTCTCAGAGCACAATACTTACTGTTTGAACTTGGTGAGGGTCTTCTGAGCGGGTGTGCCGATGACATCGTGGATTTTTGAGATTTGGTCCAGTTCATTTACTCCAGGGAAGAGGGGCTGCAGACTGGAAGGGCACAAGGGGCACTGTGGTCAGTGTTAGGGACAAACTACCCCCAAAAAGCCTCTTGGTGCTGCCCACCCCTCCCCCTAATGCTCTGCAACCCTTCTCCGTGCCGTCTACCCTTCCCCCAAGCCTCTTTATATTTCTAAGCTCTTATCTAGGTGCCACTTCGGAGCCAGCAGACTTCATTCATCAGACCTTGCTGCGATAAGCAAACCCCAATTACAAACCATCTGGACCGCATAGGGGGAGGTTGTGGGAAGCATAAACAAACTTTACCTACACCCTCCTGTAAGTTCTTGCTCTTCATCTAGTCGCTACCATAAACATCACAAGGTGATATGTGGCAAAATTAACCAGCAAACAATCCTGGGATATCCATACCGAAGAATTCCCTCAAACTCCCCTCCCCAATATAAACCCCTCATTCTCTAAGCTTGGGGCTACTTCCTCTGACTGTTAAGGGGGCAGCAGCAGGTTAATAAAAACTTGCTTGCCTGACTTTGGGTCAATTTTTCCTTTCTCTTGGCTGACCTTACTTTCTGGTGCCAAAACCCGGAAAGGGGGATAGACTCTGGCCAGGACTCACTCACTATCAATCTCTCTCTCTCTTTCTCTCTCTCTGCCTCCCTCCCCTATCACCCCTCTCCTGGCCAATCTTCCCTTCCCTGAACCTGCCAAAGACCCAGAGAATCTCCTAGACTCTCCCATTGCTGGTGACTTCATCCACCATCAAAGCCTCTGCCAGGGTGAGTAAAAAGAGACTGTTGCCATTCCCTGGAACTCTTTACCATCCATCTCTCCGTTTCCGAAAGACCTTGGCTGGGCCAAGGGCTTCCTCCACCCTCCGGGCCTCTGGTTCCTCCATTTCAGGGACGCCTAACACGGCGGTTACCTCCTCTATTCCGGACAAGTTCCACAGGAAAGGGGACGTCACCGGCAGTCTCTTCTTCCTCTACCCCTCTCCCTTCACTCCCATTCACTATGGGAGCCTCTCAGTCTATTCCTCCTAAAACCACCCCCCTTGGGTGCCTCCTACACAATCTCAGTACTCTTGGCCTCTGTTCAGAAATCTGCCCTAAAAGGCTTATCTTTTACTGTAACGCCGCGTGGCCTCAATACAAATTAGACCATGGCTCCCAATGGCCTGAAAATGGCGCTTTCAATTCCAACATGCTCAGGGACTTAGACAACTTTTGCCAGCGCTGTGGGAAGTGGTCTGAGATTCCTTACGTTCAGGCTTTCTTTACCGTCCGTAGTTGTCCCTCCCTCCGCCAGTCCTGCTGTACCTTCCAAATTCTCCTCGCCTGCTCCAAACCCGACTGGCCTCCTGCTCCCCTCATCTCAATAGCCCCAGCCGACGACTTCTTCCTTCTTTGATCCCGCTGATTTCTCCCCTCCTCGACAACATCCTAATCCTCCACCAGAACAGCATGACCCCCCACCGTACGCCTCCGGCTCTACCTCTCTCTCCCTCTCTCCAACCACCCCGCCTCCAACTCTGAGTCCTCCCCATCGCCACCGCGTACTCGTTCTCGAGCCCACCACACCCAGCAGCCTGCTCCCTTGCTGCTTCTCTGGGAAGTGTCAGGGGCCGAAGGGATCGTCTGCGTCCACATCCCCTTTTCCCTCTCCGATCTCTCCCAAACTGAGAAACGTCTCGGGTCCTTCTCCGATCCCAACACTTATATCAAAGAATTTAAATATCTCACCCAGTCTTATGAACTTACTTGGCATGATCTCTATATTATTTTGTCTTCTACCCTCCTTCCGGAAGAAAAGGAAAGAGTGTGGCTTGCAGCCCAGGCCCGTGCCGATGACCTCCATCGGCAAGATTCTACTAGGCCAGTAGGGGGCGCTGCCGTTTCCCGAGAAGAGCCTACCTGGAATTATCAACCCACAGAATCCGGCCAGGCCTCCTGTAATCATATGATTACTTGCCTCATTGCAGGCCTTAACAAAACTGGCCATAAGGCTGTAAATTTCGAAAAACTCAAAGGAAGCTCCCAAAAGGCCAACGAAAACCCTGCCCAATTCCTTTCTTGCCTTACAGAGACTCCAAAAATATATCTGCGACGATCCCGCCTCCTGAGAAGTAGTGAACTATTATTGTTCTTAACACCCATTTTATTTCCCAAACTGCCCCCGACATCTGGCGCAAACTTAAAAAGGCTGAAGATGCCCCTCAGACCCCACAACGAGACCTCCTTAACCTGGCTCTCAAAGTCTTTAATAACAGGGATGAGCAAAATAAACTAGATAAAGCCCAAAGAAATCGTGCTAAATACCAGCTTCTAGCAGCAGCTATACCAGCTTCTAGCAGCAGCTATACGTCAACTCAGCCATATTACCCAAGGACACGAAAGACCCGATAGCAGCAACCCTCCAGGCCTTGTTTTAAGGGCAGCAAAGAAGGCCATTGGGCACGGGCATGTCCTAACCCTCGAGTGCCAAAGAGCCCTTGCCCAGTCAGCCAGCAGACAGGCCACTGGAAGTCTGACTGTCCTCTCAGCAAACGGACAGACAAGCCTGCTCCTCAGAGCCACCACCCCTTTAACATGACAAAATGTGAAGAATCGCTTGCATTCCTGCAGCTACGGGCCAGGGCCCCCGGCCCCATCTGCCATCACTGCATCAGAGCCCAGGGTAACTCTGCAAGTAGCAGGTAAGCTGATCTCTTTTTTAATTGATAGCAGGGCCACCTACTCCGCTTTGCCTGAATTTTCAGGACCCACTCATCCCTCTCAGGTCTCAGTCATGGGGGACGATGGCATCCTGCATCCATGCGCCATCAGACCCCTTATTTGCTCTCTGTTTGATACTGTTTTCTCACACTCTTTCCTTACCATGCCTCGTTGCCCTGCCCCCTCCTAGGCCAAATTCAAAACCAAATTCAATTTAGAATTCAAATTCAAATTCAAATTTTGGCCAAATTCAAAGCTTCTATCACCTTTTTCTGCCTCCCTCAACCAGAGTCCCTCTTACTCCTCTCTACTAGTCCAGCCCCTGACCTCTCTCCCCAGTACCCACTTCCCACCTCTCTCATAAACCCAATAGGATGGGACACCACCACCCGTTCTCTAGCTGCTCACCATGACCCCATCAAAATCCAGTTAAAAGACCTCTCTAAATTTCACAACATCCCCCAATACCCCATCTCCCTAACCCACCAAAAAGGCTTACAGCCCATTATAAACAAGCTCTGTTCACGCGGTCTTCTTAGGCCAACACATTCTTCATGTAACACCCCCACCCTTCCGGTTAAAAAATCAGACGGCTCATACCCACTCCCCCAAGGCCTCCAAGCCATCAATCAGGCTGTCCTTCCTATTCACCCCATAGTTCCTAACCCCTATGTACTTCTCCCTCTCATTCCCTCCAACACCACCCACTACCACTGCTGTTGACCTAAAATATGCCTTTTTTACTATTCCCCTGCACCCTGATTCCCAAAACCTCTTTGCTTTCACCTGGACCGACCCTGACACTCTCCAGTCACAACAACTCACGTAGACTGTCCTCCCTCAAGGCTTCAGAGATAGCCCTCATTTCTTCGGACAAGCTTCAGCTCGAGATCTCACCTCCTTAAACCTTTCCCCTAAGCCGTCTCCTTCAATACGTGGACAATCTTCTCCTTTGCAGCCCTCTCTAGAAGACTCTCAAACCCACACAGTCACTCTCTTAAACTTTCTCTCCACCAAAGGGTATAGAGTCTCCCTGTTCAAAGCTCCACTTTCCACCTCCATAGTAACTTACCTACGAGTTCAATTTTCCCCTGGGGCCCAGGCTATGACCCCCGCCCGAGCAGCACTAATAGATAATCTGCCCGCACCCTCCTCCAAAAGCAAAGTCCTTTCCTTCCTAGAACTAGCAAGCTTTTTAAGAATATGGATTCCCAACTTTGCCCTCCTAGCTCACCCGCTCTATGAAGCAGCCAAAGGCCCTCTCAATGAGCCTCTAAATCCCTCGCATAACATACTCCCCAGCTTCTGCAAACTTCAAACTGCTCTTGTCACTGCTCCAGCTCTGTCCCTACCTGGTGTCTCCCAACCTTTCACTCTCTATACTGCCGAGAGCCGAGGAACAGCCCTCGGCGTCTTAGGGCAACAGAAGGGAGACCGTCCTTCCTTTGCCCCTGTAGCCTACCTCTCTAAACAATTAGACAACACAGCCAGAGGATGGCCAACCTGTCTTAGAGCGCTACAGCAGCGGCTGCTTTAGCCCTAGAAAGCAGGAAACTAACATTCAGTCAAAATACCACCATCTACAGTCCTCATAATCTACAGGATCTCCTCTCCTCCCAAGCATTAGGCTCCCTTCCTCCTTCCCGGATTTGATTACTCCATGCCCTCTTTATCAAAAATCCCAAATTCAGTCTTGCCAAAAGTTCTCCCCTTAACCCAGCATCCTTCCTCCCTGTATATTCTCCTCCTACTCATTCTTGCACTGACATCCTAGATCACCTGCAGCCACACTTTCCTAACATTTCCTCCAAGCCTCTCACCAACCCCGATGACCAACTATTTATAGATGGCTCCTCCTCCGGGCCCACCGGCTCCTCCAAAATTGCTGGGTATGCAGTTGTTTCCCTTGACCGAGTAATTGAAGCTAAGCCCCTACCTCCAGGAACCTCCTCTCAAAAAGCAGAACTCATAGCTCTCACCAGAGCCCTAACCCTTTCCAAAAGCAAATGAGTCAACATTTACACAGACTCCAAATAAGCATATCACATTCTTCATTCCCGTGCCGCCATCTGGCAAGAGAGGGGATTCCTTACTGCCAAAGGGACCCCTATCACTAACAGCCCCTTTATTTACCAACTCCTTCAGGCCGTATATCTCCCAACTGAGGTAGGAGTTATACACTGTTGGGGACATCAAACAGGAACAGATAAAATCTCAAGAGGCAACAGAAAGCCCGATGAGGCAGCAAAAGAAGCCTCCCTTTCTTCCGCTTCTGCCTCCCTCTTCCTCATTACCCGTGCAGTCCAACCTCAAGACTTC